GTGAATTTTGCGAATTTTGGATTTTTTATTTTTTTTCCGAGTTTTCGTATTTTCGTCACTGGAGCACTCAAATAATTTTTTTAAGGTAGAAGGACTCATCGCATCGGAGAACTGACCCCCCTATAACCACCGCTGGATCGCCCAGAACACGCTCCTAAATTTTCACGACGATCGGTTCAGCCGTTTTCGAGTCTATAGGTGACACCAGACAGACAAACAGACAGACAAACAGACAGACATACGTTTTTATATATATAGATAGATTTCCTCGCAGAGGCTGGTAGACGCCGCAAGGGGATCAGGAACGGCAATCGTTTTCCCGAATCGTCGGCGTCTATTCCTTGGCTGATCGCGAGGAATTCGACGAGGCACCGAATCGTAAGTATACGTGGTTCGATCGCGGGACTCAGGACGGACGCACAGTCATTGCATCCCGGTATGCCTCGACGGCTTTCAAGAGCGCTGACAAGGTGCCAGTGGAAGCCGGAGCTTCCTAAGAGGTCAATCTGAGAGCAGTTATACAGTTCTTCGGGCGTCGCTTTCGATATCAGAGGGAAGAGTGCTCTCCTGGCGAAGCGCCCGGAGGAGAAAAGGGTCACTCGGCAGCAGCAGGGTGTTGATTGGTCATCAGGAATGACTCATACAGTGAAGCTTCAGAGATCGAGGTTCCCCAGTCATGGCATCATTATGTACGTGGAGGGAAGAGCAAGAGAGCAGAACTCACCTAAACATTCTTCCCGCAGCGGCTGAAAGCCAGGGACATGGGATATCATGACTCGACTCACCATCCCGAATCGACGCGGAAGCCTAATCGATAGAGCTCCAAGGGTCGAGCGAGACGCGAAGACGCCTCCTTTCGAGAGAAAAATTGAAAAGACCCGCGGATCGCTGACACTGGTGTACCCTCATGAGGTCATGGGCTGGGAGAGGAGGTGTACTGAATATCCTCCTGGATTATGCAGCCACTCTCCAGGTCACTGACATTCATGATACAATGCCAATCTCTTCTGCCGATTCAGTATTCATAGGAGCTCCGAGGGACTTCGTCAAGTCGTAAACGACGGACCCGAATTGAAGCTTCCCCAGCAAAGCAAGTCGAGTATACCACAATGACGCGCTCATGGAGACGGGAGATGGAATGAAGCTTCCTTAGCTCACATTCAATAGCGGCGAGTCTTGCTATTCCCTCGACAAAGCCCTCGCGTAGCCGACCACCGTATACATTGATAGCGTCGTCGTTCCTCGGGTGACTAGATTCCGTCACACAATTTCATGATGCAATTTCCTCGATTCCCGGGTCACGAAAGCTCGGAATCCTTTCCGTACGGCTTCGAAAAAGCTCACCGAAACTCACCTTCGGCGATGCTCAGATTCACTATGAGACGATTCGAAAACGAAATTCATGGAATGTATCCTCAGCCGCGTGCGAGGAGCGAGCTCTCTCCATAGCGATGGCACTAGAGACCCGAAACCTGAACTCGTGACGGAGCGCGCGAATTTCTTCGTCGGTACGAGGCAGGATGACGCCTGAGGAGAGCGAATCTTTCAGTTGGAAATTCGCGTACTCGTATATGTCCTACGTTGCACGGTCGAGTCTACTGGCCCTCTCGGATCAGATGGATTTTTCTTCATGGAGCGCTACTCTGGAAAGACATGTCAAGCGATAGTGGGCAATCTGAGAAATGAGGCATCGACTCCCCCGACGAATCTCTGAGGATTGAGGTATTTCTCGAAGTTGACAATCGCAGACTCCGCTCTCTCTCCCACGGGACTCTCCTTGATCGCCAGCCAGCAGCGCAGCGGAAGCGCTACGTGTAGCTCATGAGATGCTCGTATTTATCTCGAGTGTCGGCACCACTGAACAATTCCTGCTTTCTCTCTTCTCTCGTCCAAGGGTGATTATTTCAAATCTCTGGGTCCGATGGCTCTGCAGAGGGACGGCCGGCGGCGCGGCACCGAGAATCACATCTTCGTTCCAAGGGCACTGTACCGAGGCTTGTCTCACCATGGCGAAAGATGTCGGGCCCTCCGGAACTCGAAGCGGAGATATCCTATCCTAGTATCCTAGTATCCTAGTAATTGATATAAACGGCGTGCACCCGTCCACCTGTCGGCTCTCGTGATCATACGTAGCGCTGTACGGTATAGATGAATGATCATCGTTAGATGCCGTTGAGACCGATATCCGGCTTTGGAAAAGGACAAGACAGGAGTGCGTCTTTCGTACAGGTATCCCGGTATTTCCACTATTCATATATATTGATTTATTGCGCTTCTTAATGAGCATGGTACAAGGATTTCCACTATTCATGAAACTGGCACTATGCGTCGACCGTGGGAACTGACGCAACGGGGGATCCGACGGACACAGGAGCTGGGACTCCACAAATGGGAGCCCGAACTCGGGGATGCTCAATTTCTTAGTGGCGCCTGCTAAATGTCGATGTGTCTCGGCGAGTCTTGTGAGGGGGGACAGGTTAGTCTCTCGGTCTCGCTTGTGTGTATCCGTCGTCTTCTAGGATATAACGCAGAGCACTGAGGCATCGTCACAGCTGGGCGGAATACTCGAGGCGAGATGATATTCTTGACATGGAAGAATGTCAAGGGAGCGCCGCGTGGATTTCATCAACCTTAATCGCAGGGTCGATTATCTCCGCAACTTTCTGGTCAAATGAACTTCGCGCTGGGAGCAGGTTGGCTTCATTCATGATGCGCGATTTCATCTTCTGGAATTCATTGCGAGCAGATTCCTTCCATGGGCCCTCGGCCAGAATCGAGGGAGTCTCGATGTTGCCCGAAGGATGAGGTACTCCGAGATCCCGAGAGCTCGGCGCCAATGAGAGCTACACGGTATTTAGAGCCGCACATTCTTCCTAATGATTGTGAAAAAGCGTTCATTCGAGCCGAATTCCTGAGTGCCTCCGGAGTGAACTTTGTCCTGCGGAATGGCCCTCGGTTCCGTAGTTTCCATGAGCACTCGAGCGTTGGCTAGGAGCTCGCTGTCTACAAAGTTTGCCCGTCTCGAATCAACGAAACTCAGAAGCTCGGCTCCGGAAATACTTCGGGGGAGCGTGCTGATCCCTTATGAAGCGCTGGAATTCTTCTCTTGGACGGACTCTGTGTCTCGAGGTTGTTGAGGAGAATTCTAGTGTTTTTTTAACCGTATCTCCAACCCTGGCCGGAGACCTCTCGTTCTCACTGCTGGTATCGGCGAAACGGACATCGGATCTATGCAAGGATGTCGCAAACTTCGGACCCCTTTCAAGGCGAGCAGCAAGCGAGTCGCTGGAGTTTAATAGGAGCGAGAGGGTATTTTACTAGACCTACCCGTACGGGCGTCAATATGAATTTCGTAATCTGGCTTGAGTCCTGCATTCCCCCCTCCCCTTCCCCTTGTATGCACTTGCCAGGAGCTCTCCCTTTGTCGCCGTTCGATGCGGGGCGGAAGGATGGAAATAGCTTCTTTCGGAACAATTTCACGAAGAGGTCAAGGCTGTGTGGGGGGAACAATTGTCGTTGATTTTTTTCCATCGCATGCCTAACGCGACCCCTCCCTGACGCCGCAGTGTTCCGCAATGAGCTCGTCTAGCGACGTCGGAAGACACCAGCTGACCGTTGGGAGCGCCGGCCTCAGGATGCCGCCGATTCGGCGAGTCTTTGGGCGCTTTCCTCGCCCCTCGAAGCTGCCGAGTGACTTGCTTTCACCAACGATGGAGAACAAGTCCCCGTGAACAATTTTTCAGCGCATCGTTCATCGTGTATGCATGAGCACACTTCGTTCTAGGCTTGTCGCCGTACGAGGATCGAAGGAGAATGGAGATCATCGAGCAAGAAACTTTAGGAGCTGAGGTACTCTGCGGTCATTTCTTTGCTTCGATCCATGTTCAGACTCTCTCTGCGTGCATCTGAATGCGTGGCGGCTATTTTTCATCGGGTTGCAGAATGTCGACCCGCGTCCCTGTGACTAGCATCCGAGGTCTACTTCCGTTGCTACATAAAAGCCATCGGCAACAAGAACTCGGCATCGGCTTGTCTGTCAGTCAAACTCCCGGATTCGTATCGCCAGGACGTTTCCGGGGAGTTGCCCCGAAAGACCTTGAGTCGAATAGGACTATTGTGATGAGGAAATCTAATTGGAACGGATCTCAATACTTATTGGCTTTTGCTTCACGCATCAGGACAGGGAACTGACTCGTCCGCGTTTTTAATCAAGCTCGGAGTGCGATATTGATATCGATCAGAAAAATCAGCCAGCAAACAGACAAGAGTCGAGACCTGCGAATGGCGAAATAAGCGAGCGAGAGGCTGCCGTAAGCTTTGATTGTGCCTGTGCCTCGCACGAAAAACCTCAAAAGCGAGACTTCGAACGGCGCACAATACTTGACCATGTCGCCCGATGGATCGGAACCGAGGCAACGACATGGTTCGAGCGCCGAAGTCGGACACAGGACGGACCGATCACAAAAAGCTCATTTCATTCGAGATGCACGTCTGCGAAAACAATCCGCGCATTCCGCGTTCATCGCTGTTTCGATTCCAGATGAATGAACGTATCGGAGCATTGTTGGAGGGGAAATTGGGGAGACTGATTATTATCCAATGCATCAATTGGAGCCACTCGTCTCCGCGGCTCGGAGCGATGTCGAGTCTTAATGAACGGAGAAAACCAGGATTCAATTCCAGTCGCCGCCTCCATCGAAACATCCACGAATGTATATCGGATGCAGAACAAGAGTTCGGGTTTGCTGCCCAAGCCCCGGCTCCTCTCTCCCTCCGAGAATTTGCCTTGCCCTGCCACCCAATGAGAAGAAGCAAAAAATACTGGAATTTTTCCCGCGGCTTATTTGCGGAATTCATTATTTGTAAACACGCTCACAAAATCGTCGTTCCGGATAATGATTCGAGGCTCATCTTGCTGACATAGGAACATACAACAAGGTCCTCTTGGAATATTGCACTCGATGCAATTCAGTAACAAAAAATGGTGAGCAAGGGAAACTTCATTGGGTCCCCTCCCCTTTGGAATGCATTGTCTTTGTTTGCGCTTGACTGCAGAGATGAGTGTATATGCCTCGGACAAACGGAGGACTCGATCCCGACGCGAGCACTCCGAGCAACTGGTCCTTCTTCGAGCTTTTCGCTAACTGACGGGCTAGGCTTGAAGCAGCCTGCATCAGGAGAGCTTCATTGCAGTCCTCTGTCTGATCCAGATGGTACCGGTGAACCACGGTGCACATTCTGTGGATGTTTGAAAAGTCTTATGAAAAAATCCCTCGTCCGCAGCGAGGATCAGAGAAATTGAGCGATCCCTACTCACAGCGACCGGAGCATAGGGTCCTCGAGTGCAGAAAGTAGGCAGCAGAGCAAGTTCCATCGGGCAACACTGGATGAACACCTCTGCGTGAGGTTGTGTAGCGATAAGAGGAGCCAATCCTCGACCAGGTGCAGTTGACATTTGGTCTCGATCATCGACGAGTACAACCTTGAAGGAGAAATTATGTTACGATGCCTGAAATCTATCTGCGAAATTGTTCGATGCTCGTTGCCAGCTCTCCGGGAGAAGGAAAACATTCGCCCACCTATTAAGTGTAATCATGAGCAGTTCGGGATATGGCTGCGCGTTCGAAAGCAGCTCACTCATCACTTTGCTGATGCCCTCGGAGAATGGCAATTGCTCATAAACCGAGCAGAGAGTTCGACAGTATATCTGGAAAATCATTTCATCCAGAAATTGTTAATTATACACATCAAGGGAGAATCCGCTACGGAACGCCATGATCGCTCACTTTGCCGAGTGGGTAACTCTGGGACGACCTCACGAAATCGAAAAGCATCATCGATTTCTCAAGGAGTAAGGCCAAGGCCTCGCTGTCGATGGCTGGAGCTGATAAAGTAGCGGCATCGTAACCCTGGGAGAGGAGTATATATTCATTTAATTCGATTAGATGGACGGCCCGACGCCATGGGACGTGCCAAGCGAGTTCTTTCCGCTGTCAGAAATAAAATCGAGAGGCATACCATACGGGCTCGTTTCTCGTGCTGGTCGCGTAGATCCAGGCTGACGATCAGATGGAGATTCTCGACTTGCTCGACATTGACTGCTCGGGATCCCTTCTTTATTGATACTTCGAAGTTCTTGAACAAACTCGTTCTAATCCATTGTTCCAATCCGCGACTCCGGAGCAGATGGCGGATCTGGAACGGATGGGCAGAATCGAGATGTCGGGCAAAGTATCCAAGGTTTGCCTACTCGGCTACGCAAGAATATCACGTGAGCTTTTTTGAAACATCATCATGGTTGGTGTACTCACGCCGTGTTGACTAGTTATGATGAGATTCCGGGTATCCTTGAGATGCGTTTCTATGCACGCACTCAATAAGACATCCCGGTCGTGTTCTCTCCGAGCCGACTCGACGAGATAGAAAGCGGCAGCACGAGTCAGGATCAGTGTGGGCTCGCACACGGTCCTGCGATGGGGAAAAATCATTATTAAGACTTCGTTGACTCTCGATCGGCTCCCTCTCCACAATGCTCCCGGGCCTGTCAGGATTCGGAACTTATGATTTACCCTACCCCACATTGAGACGGACGGTGGCAAGCACTGTATCGATGATGAGCTTTGACGTCTCGACTCGTATCGGCGGTAGATGCCGGAAAACCGACAGCACAGCGCACATGAATCCGTATTGTTTGAAGGAGTACCGTTCGTGCTTCGTGATGTATTCCATGACCCGTTCCAAGTTTGTCAATAAATTGAATCGTTGCGTCTGTGGAAGCCAGTGATCGCCTATAGCTCGAATTGTGACATTTTCCATCGATGAATTGAGATACCGGATCTCTTTTGGTGAAGAAATGAATGGCAATTGGATGAAGGGACAAATCCTCGCTGGAGCGCCACTACGGAACCTACATCGGATGCTGAGCTGGATGGGGTGGAATAAACCTTGGCCATCATCATGAGAAATACCGGGATCAGGACGCTATCGTCTTTGAAGAGGTAATCGCCGAAGCGGAAGCATTCCAAATCAATTTTCGCCAATTGTTCTTGGGTCAGTAAATCGCTGAGCTGCAGCAGACATCGGTAAATGGCAATTCGCAGCTGGTAATCCTGTGATCCATGGAAATTGGGGTTAGGTCCGAGAGCGGTTGGAACTCGCATTCCCATCCAATCAGAGGAATGCCTCCGATCGAGGCAAGGCCGGCCGGGACGTCGACGGTTAGGGGAGCCACGCTTCAGACCATGGCCGAAGCGAAGCCAGGTAATCACGAGGGGAGCGACGGTTCACCAGAGGAAACATACTCACACAGAGATCGTTTTTGAGCCATTGGTCTGTGATGTCGAGAATCAGATGTAAACATGACGTCAGACCGAGGTCGAGAACCTTCATAGCGATTTGCCAATTATTGCTTCTCGCTGCGTCCTGGGGAATGAAAAGAGTTGCACTCAATCAGCTCCAGGTATCGCTCGGGAAAGGCGGGGATTCCCCGACATACCTTCGCCTCTCCTTCGTGCGCTTTTGTCGGGGAAGAGGCTTTCTTCAGCTGAGAGCTAAGCTGGCCGAGTCCGTATTTCCCAGGAGGCCACGTAACGCGTTCCAAGTTCACGTCGAATGAATTCGGGTCGGTGTCATTCATCTGCAACCGATCCGAGCGATACCGTAGGACTGAGACTTTTCTTGCCGCTATGAGCGGGAGTTCTGGGATTCGATTTTCCTCCGGTGAACTTTCTGCATTTTAGGAGCTCACCGCCATCAGATGGATAAACTCGTGCGTACACCGGCCCGTGTGTACATAACGCCGAGTTTTTGAAGGAACTGGAGCTCTGAGGCATTGCAGTATCAACGAAGTGATGGCTTTCAAGCCATAGCGTCTCACGGCGCGCATCTCATGGACTGCCTGCAGCACAAGTATGGGCTGTCAGAATGGAATTAATTTTCGGCTCCAATAGCCGTTAACGGAGCTCATGATTCCATCGAAGATCGATATGGGCGCCGCGCTCTTGCGATTCACCTCGGCATCGTTACAGCAGTCCTCCGTTATAGTGTTCACGACACCCAGCAGAGTGACGTAGATTTCCTCGAACTGCGTGCGTGTTGACCAACCGATAAAGTTACATCGGAACATATACTGTTTTAAGAGCTGAACGTCCAAGTAAAGCTCACAAGCCACAGGTTGTCGAGGCCAATCCTCGAGCGTGGAGTGGGGTGGTAGAACGAAGTCGTTGACGCACGACGTGGCCACGAGCTTGACCAACTTCAAGATGTCCTTCGACAGAGGAATGTCGGTGGGCGATTCGCACCAGTTCAATAGCAGAGAACAAACGATGCTGCAAGGGAATAACTCGTCCACGATCCAGCAATATGCGCTTGTGACGGATGAAAGGCGAAGGGGAAATGATTATGGGCATAGACGAACGATTTATACGGGTGTCTCACCTCGCAGAGTGTTCGCTGTCCTTCCCGACGAAGACTTCTTCAATCGGTGTGAAGTGCGTGATATATTTGTGCAGGATGCTGCTCATAGACAGTATGCACTGAGCTTCGAGATACTTCTGAATTTCGGCTTCTTCCATAACCTCCGCCAGACATGTTAGCGTTCGCTGCAAGAGTGACATCCTCCCACACCCATCGGAGACGAGTTTGCTCGCAAGGTCCATCAGGGCGGAACAAAGTTCTTTGGAACGTTCGTGGAGCTCAATTTTTTGCTGAGGTTTGGCCCTTTTCAAATACGCGACGAAAGCCCGGGCATACATCGGTAGTTCATCGTTAGGGATGTCTTTCATGAGAAGAGAAACACCCTTTCTGAAGAAACACACCGTGACAGGCGCATGCTCGAGGGCCACTGCGGCCAGCTGGAGCTTCCGGAAATCAGAGCTGCCTGCAAATATCTTGTCCACCGGTTTTTCGGTATCGACCAGATTCTCGCTCAGTTTCTGGAGGATTTCACAAATCTCAAGCGGATCCTCGGTGTCGCAAATGTATTTCAAGAAGAACTCCTCGTCATCTTCCGTCGAGTTGAGGCCACGCGAGAAGTATTCGCCGACAGCTTCGGGACTGGCTAGATCCAGACTGAGCCTCCGGAGCTCGCTCACAGACGCCGTCAACACCAGCACAGTGAGTCGATCCCACAGCTCCTGCTGGAGATGCCGGCGGAAGTTTTGCTCGAAAATATCTAGAACCGCTTGGCGAGTGTTGCTTGGCAGCAGTGGGAATGTTTCGTCGAAAAGGAAGCTGACGATCGGTCCCTGACCAGTGGGGTCGCTCTTGGATACGGAATTCAGGAAATTATGGACATTCGAAATTCTTGAGCTAAGAAGAGGTTGGCAGCATTGCTCGTTGAAGAAGCCGCTCAGTTCTTCACGACGATGAACCGATGCTACGAGCTGTTGCACCGGAGGTTCGCGACTCAATTCGACCAGAGACTGAGCGTTTGTCCCGATGAATTCCTTCAGCTCAGCTTCCGATTGATCGATATTGTCGTCAAAGAAGTCCGAAAGTAGAACCATGGCTGTTTCCGAAAAGAGATCTGATAGCAAATTACGCCCTCTGGAGGTGATGAGCTGCTCCCACCAAGAATGGATCCCTCCTGTTTGATTGGTCAACATCAAGAGGTGACACCATTGACTGACGAGATAGGCCCTGTCGATTAGTGCTGGGAGCAGTTTCCGACTGTATTCCTCGATCAGAGCCGTGTTCTCAACGAGAACCGCAAAGAGGGCATTACACAACTTTGGAAATTTGCCGGATTGTAGTATGAAAGTGAGCTCCGACAGAAGCAACGTCGAGAAGTTCACTACATTTGTCTCGGTCAGCGATAAGCTCACTGTGTGCAGGAGAACGCAAACCAGATAATCGGCAAGTTTCTGTTCGACGCCAAGCAGATCACTTTTCTTGAGCGTCATCTCCGTGTCGACGGGAAAATCTGGAAGGAGGAGCTCTCGATTGAACCAGTTGGATTGGCAACCATCGTCCACTCTGAGGTAGTATAACTTCGAGTAAACCGATCGCGGTGCAACGACTGGCCTCTGACGGGCCTGGTGAAAAGTGTTCAGCAATCTCTCACCCAGGTCTTCTCGGAAGTCTTGGAGCCGATCAAGGACGATATCTTCTTCGGAGTGAGTCAGAACGATCCTAAGAACTAGGATGAGCAACGACAGATAACTGTGGAAAGTGGAGGTGGAGTCAGATCGCGATTCTGAGCCATGTCCTGGGCGATTTCGGGAGAGGAGATCTGAGCCCACCTCGTTCCGCTGACATCACTGTTCTTCGCAGTGACAAAAAGCGCCTTCAGGATGATGTCAATCGGACGGAACACGCTGGACGGCATCGCACAAAAAAGCTCTTCCAAGACCTGAAAGCAATCATCGAGTGTTCCGGACATCGAGCTCCCTTAGAAGACAAAATCTCGCACCTAATACCGATAACGGGGAATATCACGATCGGAGATCGCGTAGTTCGTGGTCTCATCGAGCCAGTGACCCGGGTAGCGGGTTGTCCGAGCTCGGACCCAGGTACACTGGCTCCGCAGACGAACCTTATGCTCGCTGACGTCGTTGATAGGGATTTCCCCTTTTGAGTACTTGATGAGGACCATATCGGCCACATCCCGAGAAATTTTGCGCCAACGATCCTCGGCCATCTCGTATCCTCTGATTATCTCGGTCAGAAGACGGAGACACGCGACAGAGCTCGAGTGTCTCTCGACGAGCCGGAGGACGGCTTCCCGGCTATTTTCCGCATCTGTAATTCCCACCCAGACTTATTCCTCTCCTCTTCGGATAGCGGAGCGATGGTCCGAGGAACGAAGAGCTCACCTTCGACGGAGCCGGAGAAAATATCCTTCACGAGGGGTTCGACGAACGAGAGCCCGCTACCGCTGAGAGGCGAGCCCGGTGCGAGCAAACGTTCGCAGATCTCAAATATCTTCGACACGGAGACTACGAGTCTCGACGAATACTTTTCTTTGGCTAACAGCAGGAGGAATTCCATAAGTTTCGGTAATATCTGCTGACCACTGTGAGCTGGGGACAACATTCCCTCGTCGAAAAACTCAAATTGCTCCACGATGTACTTCAGGAATTTCTGATCTGCGTCCAGCAGCGTATAGTTGATTCGACCCTGCAAGCACTCGATTGGTTACGCATGAAGTCTAGAAGGCGGCCGCAGAGTTTTCAGTTGACTGAGTGAAGAATGTTTAGCACCTTGACGAGCTCGATGAGCATCCGGAGCACCGCTTCTTGGAGATCCGGCGACGCCAAGAGAATGTAGTACTTCAGAGCTTGCTGCACGACCGGCTCAAACACCCTGATATGAGGAGCTAGCGCTGATTTGACATTGGCAGCTTGGCGCACGGTTTTCGGTAAAATGTGGGCAGACTCATACCTTGATTCAAAGTGTTGAGGGTGATTAGTTCGATTTTTCCTTACCTAAGAGAGCCCTTTAAGAGCCCCTCACCTTCGTTAGAGCGCTGCACCACCTGTATGTAAATACCATGTATGTAGATCAGGAGCATGCAAGCAAGTCGGACGTTCCAACTCACCATTTGTAGCCCATCGGATAATTTGACTGGATTGGCGCCGATTGGCAATTGACCTGCTTGGCAAACTGTAAATACGGCTCGTCGATGAGCACTGTATAGAGGTCTCGCGCCTCACTCATGAAGACTTCGGTTTGGGAAGGTGAATGCGGACTCAGTTCCGTCCGGGAATGTATGCCAGCGAAGTTAGTTGCAAACAAAGTTCTCAGAACCTGGACGGGAGAGAATGGTGAATCTCCAAGCTGGGATTATGAGTTTCATTGGGAACAATAGTCGATCTCGACTAATTCGGTTCTCACTTCGGTGGTCGTCTTGACGATGGCGGCCGGTGCAAACGGGAACAGACCATGCATGTTGCTCACTAAGGGTTGAATGTGCGGAGTAAAATCCGGTAGAAGGCAGAGAGTCAAAAGAGAATCGACCGCCGTCAGACACGATTGGAGAAGCGGGAACGATGGCGTCGTCGATGAAGTCTGCAATTGAGGGGGAGCTCCGCGAAATCGCTGCTTAGTTCATTTTGTGCGGATTCCATCGAAAATTTCCGCGTCGACGAGACTTACGTTCAGCACCGCTGCTGTAATTGCTGTCGCAATGCCTTCCTGCAGTTTCGCGTAAAGCATTTCCCTCGACAGGAAGAATGGGTCAGCTGTCTCAGCCTCTTTGACTCTCAAGAGATCGCTATCTTCTCTCTCCAGGTTTGGAATCAAGGGTTTGTCATTTGACTTCGGAATCTGAGATCGGATACGAGACAGGTCATTCCCAGAGTCGCTGTGCGGAAATATCTCCCCGCAAGTTCATGAACATGAGAAGAAAAATACAAATCCGGAAACTCACCCATCTCTGTGTCATATTGATCGGTTTTTGAGCTGCGTCCGCAAAGAAACCAATTACACGCAGCGTGTGCTCGAGGCACAGCTCGAGTTCTGCCTTCAACGTGTCCGCCCCGGCCAGAATTGGCCATAATTCGGTTGCCATGCTCGCTGAAAACGGAACTTGCTGGAAATCATTCCTCGTCTCGGCAACTTACTGCCTGACTGCAGTTCAGCGCCTCCCTCGTACCCATCGACGTCCAACTATCCCGAAATCGGACCCTCAGCAGATCTTTTCGTCTCACCAATCTTTCTCTTAGAACACGAAATTAGATTCGTGCAAAATCGGTTTCTTCTCCCACTCCGTGAGTAATACTTGGCCCCCAAAATGATCATGCTGGGAAGCTATTCATGTGAAAAATTATTCGGTGGTCCCATTCTAAGCGGTCACCCATAAAAGGCTTTGTTAGTGTACCATGGCTCTGCGTTTCTATTCAAGGATGGTGCTCACTTACCACAGCCATTGTTATTCAGTCGAGCCACTTCTGTTCCTTGCGCAACGATGAGTTTACAACTAATAGACAATATTAAGGAATGGACGCCGGTGTCGTGCATGTACGTTGAGCAGGTCATGAGATGATCAAGGTGACCTACGAAACCTACTCCGAGATTGTAATCGAATTCCGTCGGCGGAAAAGTCTCGAAAAGGCAGTTCAGAGTCGACAGTAATCCATCCTACGGAGGAGGATCAAATCAAGAGCACTTGAATCAGCCCCATCTAATTATGTATTGTATTATAATACTTTCATGTACTTTCATACGTAGTGCTTCAGCCTGGTGTCCGAGTACTACTTACCATGTAGTGCTTATCCTCGGCCAACATCAAACTGGAACGCAGTTTGCTAAGCACGAAGCTGAGATTTTGTTGCTGGAGCCTTTTCCGAGCGGCTACATTTTGAACGTGGTGCTCGCCTTTCGAAATTTGGGCGAGGCATAAAGTTGCTCGAGAGGATGAATTGTTCTAGAAGATAGGTACTCGATCATGCTCGCTACTGGAGATATAAACGGGAACAGCAGCGGCTTAATGGAACCTGACAAGCTCACCATCGTTGTCACGCATATCCGTATGGCTTTTGCGGCTGCTAATCTCACTCGCTGGTCTTCTGAACCAAGGAACTCCTCAGACATGAGAACGGCACTCACAAGGCGCTTCTGCATGACCTTTGAATTTCGCAAATAGGCGAAGGGCACGTCGGATATCACTTCGCAGAGCGTCACCTGTGGGGAACATTCATCCGGTTCGTGGGAGATTTCCCGAGGGATTATTCATTGCATTCTCAGCTCCGCGACTCACATGTCAGCGAGATATTAAAACGAGCTTTGGAATGCTTACTCGGACTAGAAAATATGTAGAGGTCCGCATCCGATACAAAGCATTGACTAGGTTGACCACCTCATCATCGCTCGCAATTTTCAGATATCTTTCGAGGAAAACCTTCGGAAAAAATAAATATTAGAGACCCCAGACGAGTTTACCTTACTCCTGTGCTCATACGTGAAAAAGGCTTTCGACGATCGGCCAAGATTGGAGAAGCTGAGCGGTTTTACCTTCAAAGCCTCCAGGGCTCCCTTCTGACAGAGCGGATCTTTGTCTTGAAGCCTGATCACGATCGCCGAAACGACTCGCTTGACAGCCTCGATGTTGTCTTTAAAAAACGTAATTCGACGTCAAAATGCGACGGTGTTCAGAGAGGCCGCGGTCTCTCGTGACTCATCAGTCTTGACTGAGGATTGATGGTACGAGTACCCACCTCGCTCCAGCCAAATCTTGGCAGCGATTGCCCCCAAGTGCAGAGCGTTTGCTATCAGCTGGGAGTCTTCTGAGCTCTCTGCCAGGGCTGAATCGACGACCTCCTCAAGATCCGAGAGGACAGATGCCTCACCTTCGAGGCATCGCGATATGCAAGTCAAGGACAAGCTTCTCAGGCTAACCTGTAATCATAGACCATTGGCACCAACGGGACTGTTTTTTCCATTACAGGTCTTCCTCGCGGGCGTGAGATCGGGAATGAATCTTGACTCGGAAGCATATTCATGTATATGGCGAGACGCGATCGATAGGGCACCCGGACAGGCGGTAATTAAAATTAGCCAATTTGCTCCATATGGAGCGTGGATGGACGCACGAATCACGGATAAGCTTTGGTGACTGACCTTCTGATCGGCATTCTGGAGGTACTTCCTACGGAGTAGAGCGACGACGAAATGCGAAATTGGTCGAGAATTCATCTCCTCTTTCAGGGTCACTAATGGGCACTGTTCTTTGCAATTGCAAACTTTAGAATCTGTAACGGTGACAGGGTAACGGTTTGATTTTGTTGGAGGTCTCCGCCGCTCTGATTAACGCTCGAGAAGGCCGAAAATGTAGATCTCAATATCCTGTCGAGCTCACCAACGCTGTTCGACGTTATAATGGTCACCTGACCGCTTGACTTCTCCAAAAGTTTCGGGCACCTCCGGAGCATCTCGCGAATACATTCGAGTGCCGAGGAACAAAGTGAGGTGGACGACTCGTCGAGGATGGTTGCGCAGTGCAAAACGGAATAAAACGCCTAGCAGGAGAGAATCCGATCGAATTCAATTGGAAGAGGTATGACTGATGAAGGGGGTATATGTCCGACGAGTACGTCAGTTCCTGAGAAATGCGATGCACCTGCAACTCTTCAAGTTACCTCTTCGATTTCAGCCGATTCCATTCCGACAGATTCATACTCTTTGGTCAGATACCTGCATGAACCGAATATATGTTAAAAGCCCCGACGAGTGCATTGACGACGTTTGAGAACATTAGCCCTCTCACGAGGTAGTTACGGGGAGTATCGAATCAGCGGCATGAATGCCGTAGCCTCACCGTAAACAAACAAGGGCCGCAGGCAGGGTTTCTATGTCGTTCCTATGGATGTGCGATACGAGCGTAGAACTCAGATATTCACAATTGTTGAGACTTTTGCGGCACTGACAAGCTAAGCACACGAGGATTCGCGACGCGACCCGGACCATAGACAATTGACTGGAATCGGGTAGAGATTTGTCTTTTGAGACAGAGCTTCACGCGGCTGCGCTTTGTTATGGAGAATTCTTAAGAGAGTCCATTCATTCAGTCCAATATCCCGATTGCTGAATTCCTACCTGGAAGATGTGAGCAGGGTCGTGCAAGAGGTTGTGAGCTGAGTGACATCTTCGTGGCTGGTGTACGGACCGAGTACGGGCAGGATTTTGTCTAGAGCGTCCGCAAGTGACTCTTGCAAAGACTCTTCGTCGTTTCGTTGTAGGATTTTCAAGATACAAGGCACAAGATTGACACAGTAAGGCCTGGAATGTATGAGGAGGTTGACAGGTGGTGATTATCGAAAGCAGAAGAATCTCGCTGAAGATGTTTCTCAGGTTCAGTCGGACAAGGCAACGCACCGCCTCTTTGCGTGTTTGATCAATGGAGCCAGTTCCGCGAACTTCGCAAGGGCTAAGGACATCCTCCGCGGATGGTCATTCCTCTTGATTTCTTTGTAGAGCTCCGCTTGAATCCTAGACAGATGACTCTCCAGGAGACGCTGCCGAGAAGGAAACGGGGGCTATCAGTTCCGATCCAAAGCTTCAGGTGGAATCGGCGCAGAGCGCACATTTCGCGGCTGTAGCTCCAGTGTACCGCTTCCTCAGCGTAAAAACTCAAGCAAACATAAGAGAGAGATTTTCACCTGAATGGTAATCGATAGGCACTCTGAAGCCACCAGTCTCACGTCGGCATTCGAGTGCGCCGCCAGGATGAAAAAACTTTCGAAGCATGAGCTCAAGAGTTTCCCGAAATCCGTCAGACCCCTGTGATTGAGAGCGAGAATTAATTATTTCCCGGGAGCACCCATCGGTTCTCGTCATCATCAGAAATCCTGAATCATAAGCAAGGACGGGGACTCGAAGCAGTTCACGATACAACCGAGGACGCCGATCACGCAGAGAGACACAGTTCCGAGAAAGAGTCCAATAATTGTAATCGAGATACTCACCAAAAACTAAAGCTGTTTAATTATTTGACACGGTTAGGAGAAATCATATTTTACAAAAAACACACCACCAGAACTTTGCCATCTCTTAAAATTAGTCCCATAGAATCTATCTCCGAGGGTTCATGATACGATGCAGAAATATTCGCCTGTCTCGCGATCATTAGCACACAGGACGATCCGCCTGATTTCGAGGGAGTCGCGGGGGCTTACTTTGTCTGATCGGTGGCGATCGAGTCAGCCAAACAGCAGCAATGTGTGGTGAGTTCAACTTTCCCCGGTTCCGGTAGGCCACTGGGGAAGAAAATTGGTGTCGAGTCGCCTAGTTGATAGCTCAGTCCAAGAATGAATCGGATGCGAATCGAACACTTACCTCTCCGGAATCCGGGTGGTGGCTCTGATAACGTCGATGCTCTTCAGGAGGCGCTCCATACTGAGAGACTTCGAGGACATCATGATTGCGTCCGGCAACTATAACCCGATCTCTGCTTTCGCCGGACTGCAGGAGGAAAATCCAGAATTCGAATCGACGGTTCCGGGAAAATTTGCATTGGAATTTGAGAATCTTATTTCGCAAAGGAAGATCGTGATTGCGCCGGGTAACCCGAAAAGGCGAAAGGCTGCCCTGGGAACTATTTCTCAGCGGACCTGGACACCGCTTTTCCGTCAATGTTCATTCGCCCTCGCTTGACAGCCAGCTGTTTATGTCTCGTACCGGTTCGACGTGAAGTAGCTTCAATAAAGATGCATTGACAGCGACAGTCAAACGCTAAGATGAGCTTGTTTAAGGATACTGTCATTAGCTCGTTCCGACCGGCTGTAAGCGGGGCTCCGGTCTGTACCCTATAGTTCCTCGGTAGAACTTCACAGGTGGACAGAACACGACTCTGAACTGTTCATTCAGCGATCAGCTGGCGCACTATGAAAACAGACCTGAGTTTTGGCGCCAATTTCGAATGGAGCCGGGAGTGCCCATAAAATCGTCAGAACCGACCGGTCGCCGCCCCTATCCTCCATGCGGTGGCGCAGAGTCCCAGGGTTGGTGCTCATGATCAGCGAAACAACGCTGCCCCGTGCTACCGGCTGGCCGCACCGGAGAGCGAGTCGGGCCTTCTCTAATTCCTTCATTCGGACGGCTTATCGGGAGCGCATTTCTCTCCGGATGGATTTCTCTCGGAATTCTAGGAGTCGTCATCCCGCGAGTTCCCCCGATTCGACGCGGTCGCGAGCCTCGGGAGCCAGGTTTTCTGTTTTTTTTCAGGACAATTATTGAAGAAAAGTACTACCAGAGCGGCCTCGGACGGGTACTTCAGCAATTTCTCAACAGAAGATGGAAACCATGTACACTGACAGACTCGAAGCCACAAGCTCCCGCATAGGAACGCGTCGCGTCGGTGGGGCAATGCAGCTCGGCTCGGGAAAAGGTCTCAGACCGCTTAGCCATCCGCGTGCAGTGCGATGAGCGGGAGCCGAAGTCTTCCTCCTCTCATGAATATCTATCCGAACTCATGCATATGACTAGGAGCAAGACCATATCGCACTTACTCGAGGAGTATATTCATGCATGCAAAAGCTCCCTCCGTCATCAGGGATCGGGGGGCCATTTTACAAACTCGAGGACAGACAGAGCCAGCAATCGAGCACAAAGCGGCCATGGCTAAGCAGGCGATTCGCCAGCAGCCGATCGCTCGGCCGTCAGAAGAGATCTCAGTGAGAGATAGTCGAAACTTCAGAGCTCAAGCAGAGAAAGATGTATTAATTTCAAGTCAGAAAATACAATGACAGCTTGGTTCATCGTTTGTGTACACACACTGGTACACCGCCAATGAAGATCTTGAATCGAGACGACATTCGAAACTTTTCTGACTGGGCCGCGAGGTTTTTGTTGCAGAAAATACAAAATGTCATTCATTCGTCCCATGCGCTCGCTGCATAAAGCACGGAGTCGAGACGCAGATCTCGAACATAACAAAACGTGATCTTCGGATCGGAATCCATAATTGATTGCATACAGCGGACAAGTGACCGAGAAAGTATCCAATGCACAATCGTGTACGTGAATCTTCCTTTGAATCTCGATAAATGCCGGTGTGGCTTGTTTCTTCGCGGGACAAAAATCTTCTCCGTCCCTCAGGGAAAAGCGCGGAAAAATACCGGATCGCGACTCGTTTCGGCCAGAGTTCCGCGAAGAATCCGAGTCCCTCGGAACCTGGAAAAATATCTCGCTCTCATCATGGGATCGATTACATATGTACATATCGAGCTCGACGCACCGTTCGCTCGAGAAATCCCAACGGTTGAGCCTTGCTGACCCAGCGACTCACTTGTGAAACCCAGTTTCGGGTGCTGCCTGGTTCATGAACCTGCATTGACCCAAAGAACCATTCCCACCTGAGGAGAATTCGAGCTGAGGCGCAGTGCTCCTCTAAAAAACAAAATGCGAGAGAGCCTCGAGAGGCTCGGAGCTGTACTGCTGATTCTGTTCCAATCTGGTGCACAGGTGCTACTGTCTTTGGGCCTCCTCCAATGCCGCAAGAAAATGCAAATCCGAGACGGGAGGGAGAGAGCTATGTGGACCTAACCCAGCAGATCTGCCCACATCTTTCTCTTCTTCGGACCGTCGGCTCTGAACCTGACTAGGACCACGACCAGAAGAGCGAACGATTTCGCAAGCACTGCTGAGGACACGAGCAGCAGGTCGGCGCTATCCGTAGATACGACTCGAAGCTCTGAAAATCTCTTGCTACGCGATGATCCCTGGTCCAGACAGGTAGATTCAAATTGAATGTCGTCTGACGAGACGAGTGTCTTCGAGCTCGGCCGGCGACGGGCAATATGAAAATTTTTGTCTTAACACTCGAAATTCGGCGCGTAAGTTGAACTTCAAAAGATGAGGAATTCGTTTGATGGCTCACGCGAATTTACGAAAGGGTCAAGAAGGAGCCTCGCAGCAGACCAATTAGACGAGCTGATGACGCCGGAGCAGAGACACGCCCGGAATTCTATCTTTTTGCTCATCGTTCTCGGGTCAGACGCGTCCTCGAGATTAGGTGCTCCAGAACGACGACGCCGGATGAGTTTTTGATCATTCGACCGCATCCCACGAGATAAAAGCGTCGGAAGCTGGCTTTCGGCAGCCAATCAAACGAAAAGAGCGGGAAGCGAAAAAAAGTCTATCTTCTATGCAAGGCTCGCGATTTTCTTCTATAGTATCGAGGCGGTCCTCGGCGCTTCATGCATGATGGACCTTCCTGAATGGGGCGAGGCAAGTCTGTCCGTCTTCCCTGCTAGTACTATTGGCTCTCAGATCGTAGACATCAAAATGTTTGCCTACTGTCAGGGATCACTAGGTCCGTACTACGAAAGAATCTTCGGGTTTACGAGGAGCGTTGCGTCAACACAGTCTCGAGGAACATCAAACACGGTCGTGAATCGCTCACGACCCAAAGTGATCCCGGCACGGGGAATCGTGGAAAATGTGCCACGACTCGAAAGACAGGAAGTCGCTCTCCGACTTTTCGTTCCGACGTCGAAGTATGAGAGAATCCGGAATAGTGAGGCGGACAGAATATGCGACTCTCCGAAGAAAAATTAATCGACGAAGACCCCAAGTTCCGGAGAAACACCACCGATCTTTTGCGTCGTCAGAGAATTATCGACAAAATTATTCAAAGAATACAACGAAGGGAATTGTTGGGATCTAATCTCAATTGCCTCAAACCACGTTCCCTGGGTGTTTCCTCAGAGATTGTGTCAATGATTATGGCCGAAACTATAAGGATGGACTAGCCCCGGAGAAGGGAGGTGTGAATTCGTATGGATCTGGATCTCATTGTTAAGGGAGCTTTTCATCGAGGGAGCTCGCTTTGTCGTTAACGGCATTTATTTGACGAGCAGCGGAGTCTGCCCGACTGAAGCCGATGTGATCTAACCGGCGCCAAAGCGTCTCTATTTGCTTTTGAGCTCAGAGAGTGCGTCGTCCCCGGAGCATCGTTGAAGAGTTGCTGCGACATCGGATGCTGCAAGGTGCTAATCTTGCGACAACCGACGACCATCGACCATGAATTTCTTGAGACCGTCGAGTCCATGGTGCGTCACGTTTTCCTTCACAATGCCATTGTCTGGTTCCGGAGCGCAGCGTTCGCTACCGAGTCGAAGAGAAAAGATCGCATCTCGCTTTTTGTCATGCTCACTTCATCGTTCGTCAATCGTCTGTCGAAGTTTTCAGTACGATTCTCGGCAGAGGACGGAGCTGAGCGCGTGACGGAAGTTGCGAGTGCGAAAATTTGGAGATCCCCGTCGGTAGGTGATGCGAATTGAAAACTCTTGGCTCGTCGAGTTTGATCGATTCTCGGTGTTGAGATGATCAGCTAATGCGAGTCAATCATTGATCCCTTTATGAGGTTTACACGATTTCGAGAAACCGAGAGAGACGGAGTATGTGTCAGGAACAAACCAGGAAGTAAAACAAGCTCCGCACTCAACAAGATGGCTCGAAGGTCATACGCGTCTGAGAGCGTGACTGATACACCCCGCGTTCGAGCAGAGCCAGCCAGTCGGAGTAACTACATACAGTAGACGCTTCTCGTACCTCTCAGGCAGCTACTTACTTCACACCTACTGCCTCCGCCTACTTCTCGAACTTCACAGAGTAGCGGAGGAACGATGGTGAGCGGGTGAGCGTTTGCTTGAAGTGCTCTCTGCTAATGAGGTGATCAGAAGATGCGTGACAAGGTCGTTGAAGCTAGCTGTGAGAAAAAAAATCCGAAGACAGAGTCATTCCTCCCTAAGCCTATTCTGGTTATCTCGAAGAAATTCTCCTTGAAGGATGCAGGGTCTGAAATTTGCTGATTTCGACTAATTTCGATCGGTATACTTGACACCTTCCCTTCTCCTTTGCTTTATCCGATTGAAGGTGCAACGACGCTGAATGATTGTCAGCGATTCCACTCGCAGTGACTTTTATCGCTTCATCTCACGTAACGCCGATTTCTCGGAGACTCATCATTCGCGTAACTGACGATAGAGTTGATGATTAGGATGTCAGATCTATGGGAAACGGAACCTCTGGCACCCGCTCAAGGACGTTCAATCGTAACATGTTTATTTGTTCGGGGGGATATCGATAAAGCTCGCATGCAGGTACGGCGCGAAGGAAATCTAGATAGGAAGCTCGCGTTTCGAGCCTTGATCTCAAGGATCTTTTTTTGTTGTCGAAACGGTTCCGCATCTGGACGACTGTTTTGTTCGAGAGACTCCCACAACTTTTTCGAAGACTGGGTACATGTGAAACATATATTTTCTAATGCGCGACGATTGGGTCGGTTGCTTCGTGCGCGCTCCGAGCATCCTCCGACTCCTATCGTATATGACCACCGCCCGGAAGATATCTGCGGTCGTGCAATTTCTTAATCCTCCGAGCTTGTGTCGATGCCTCGACTCCTGAACTCTGCGAC